GGCTTCACGAGCTTCGTCACGTGCGTGACACGGTGCATGATAGCTACTCATCTGACCTTCATCCCAATTTGACCACTGCACTTTGAGTCCAATTTTCCTTGTATTTGGTCCTTTTTGCCTTCAAAATAAGATATTGGTTTCAATTGGATCATCTTACACAATTCAACACATAATTGGTCACTTTTGTACAATTCTTGGCTACCATGAGAGTTGGGCCATAAATTTTTGCTACTCATATGACCTTCATCCCAATTTGACCACTGCACTTTGAGTCTAATTTTCCTTGTATTTGGTCCTTTTTGCCTTCAAAATAAGATATTGGTCTCAATTGGATCATCTTACACAATTCAACACATAATTGGTCACTTTTGTACAATTCTTGGCTACCATGAGAGTTGGGCCAAAAGCTACCATGAGAGTTGGGCCAGAATTTTTTTTTTTTTAATACTATTGACTCTATTACAATGTAGTATCTATTCTACTTTCTCCATCTATATCAGCTCAAAGAGTCAAACCCCACCATCTATATCAGCTCAAAGAGTCAAACCCCACCACCGGGGTTCGATCCTGTGACTTTCCCTTAAGTAGAGCCACAGAAGTGTCATCTGAGTACAAGGTGCTTGGCGGGCCAAAAATAAATTAGTATGGAATATATTTAGAGAGGTCTTTTAATATAACATAGTGTACCACCAACGATGGTTCATTCTGGTACAATATCTCGACCAATCCCTAATAAGATACGATAGAGAATGAACTTCTACAAATCCAAAATCACATGTTGAAATGCACTTTCTTAACGCACGCGTATTATCTGTTGGTCCAAAGGCGTAAAAAGTCTAGAAGATGAGTTTAATAGACCTTTTAAAAATTTTCACTTAGATAATTTTTCAAAACGATTTTCAAAAACAAGTCTTACAAACAATTTTATGATAGAGCTAATCACTAGCGAATCAGATAGCTAATGATAGGCAGCGAAAGACTTAAAAATTTGTAGCCCATTTTGAGACCAAAACAACTTGAACAAGGAAACGTGTTCTGTGTGTGCTTAACTGTTTCGATCAGCTAGAAATTAAAGTGCAAAATGTAAAGTAGAGAGAGATTTTTATAGTTGTTCGGCAAGTGCTTACTCCACTCTTCTCTTTAATGTCCAAGGAGGATTTCACTAGTATCGTGTGCAAAAATACAAGTGAAAAGTCACATAGTGTATTCACTAAACACTATTGACTACAGGTGGTGTTCCTTCGAACCAGATATCCCCTTCAATTCGTTATTCAACACCCGATTAACCAATTTATCACATAATTGATCACTTTAAACACAATCAAAGTAATTCTAACCCAAGATTGACCAATTTATGCACCATTAAAATAGTACAATTTAACACTTATCATTGTACAACATTTATTAGCATGTTTTTGGTCTTTTGGAGAATTCTGGGTTACAATGAGAGTTGAGCTAAAAATAGATTAGTATGGAATAATATATTTTAGAGATCTTATAATATAACATAGTATACAAGCCATGTTAACCCAATAGGGTAGCTCAAGTGGCAAATGAGCTCTCTTTGTGGGGAAGAATTTTGGGACTACCCGTGTTTGATTCCCCATGAGCCAACTCCTGTGCCTCTCGGAGCGAGCGGGGAACATCCTGTGGTTTAAATATATATATATATAAAAGCCATGGTTCATTTTTGGATTCCATTATTAGGACTTAGAAATTAAAATTAATGTTCCTTAAAAATAATTTCTGGTACAATATCTCAATCCCTAAGATACGATAGAGAATGAGCTTCTACAAATCCAAATTCACGTGTTGAACTGAACTTGCATGACGCAAGCGTATTATCAACACCAAAAATAATTAAAAAAAAAAATATATATATATATATATATATATATATATATATATATATATATATATATATATATATATATATATATATATATATATATATATATACACGTTTGAATTATTAAACACTAAACATTCAAAAAAAGATTTTGTGGCCTACCGTTAAACCAACAAATTGGGGCAAAAGATACAAGTGGAATTCTAAAATCATATATATATTAATGATACATAATAAAAAAAATAAATGCCAATGACATGAATGTTACCATTCCAAATGAGTGGTTATAGGTTTGACAGTCATTTTTGTGTAGACCATACTATTAAATAATGTATATTCAGTACACAAATGATATACTTTTAGTATATTAAAAATGTACTTTTTGTTATGATTCATACAACATTGTTTGAATCCCTATGGTGGGGACTTAGATTCTTTGGACTGAAATAAATAATCTACTATATATATATATATATATATATATATATATATATAGGAGTGATCACATGTGGTCATGTTGTTAGGTGTGGTCATATGGTCAATTATAGGCCATTAGATTAGATAGATCCAATGAATAATATTAATCAAGATTTTTCCAGTATTTTCGCGCACAATCTCCTACCCAACGAACTGCAAGGGTAAACTCGTCATAAAACACCAGAATAGGAAAAATCACATTGTTGTGTGTTTTATTACACTATTAGTGCATGTTGTCAACACTATTGGTGTATTCTTGAACCCGGCCTCTATAAATAGCCACTGTAATAACCATAACACGGGAATACACCATTGGTGTGTTTCACAGTGGTGTGTTTTATTACACTATTGGTGTATGTTGTCAACACTGTTGGTGTATTCTGGAACCCGCCCGCTATAAATGGACACTGTAATTACCATAACACCCTCACTTACCAAAACGCGCGAAAATCCTTAGAATTACCACTGCCGTTAGATTAAACTGATTCAACGACACAGATACGACCACACGACCACACCTAATGACATGACCACATATGACCACTATATATATATATATATATATATATATATATATATATATATATATATATATATATATATATATATATATATATATAAGGGCCCAAGAGAGTTAGGCCTATAATGGGTAGAAAAAATGGCGGTCAAATTTTTTAATCAAATGAATGACTCAGATTGATCAGATTTTAATTTTTCCTTCAGATTTCCTAATTTATCCTATTATCCGTTAACTTTTACGTTAAATATTATCTTTTCCGTTAATTTTTGTTAGTTCACCGTTAACTTACTCATTGATTTCAATAAGAAAGGTCTTAGGTTCGAACCCCACCCAATCAAAGTTGGCATAATTAGTTCTCTATTTTGCTCTTATTAAATTATAAATAATAATTTTGTAGCTACAACAAAAAATAATACATATGCATTTCTTTAATTTAGAATTATGTGTCTACAATGTCTTTATTCAAAAAAAAAAAATTATTCATTATCAATAAATTAAATAAGAGAAATAACCAGGACTATGTAGTCTAATAGTACCCGGGTTGGACTTCCATTTGGAAGATTATGAGTTCGAGCCTCAGTGGAGGCGTTATTGGTTCTTTGTGTTTCAGTAGGTTGAGAAAGTATATGAACAGATACTACAATGTAATAGAACCAGTAACTTAAAAAAAAAAAAAATAAGAGAAATAATTTCATTTGTTATATTGTATTTATTTTTCTCCAATATAAAAATTCTTTACATTCAAATTCATCAATTGATTATATTTGCTACATTGTCCCTACAATGTCTTTATTAAAAAAAAAAATTATTCATTATCAATAAATTTATTAAGAGAAATAATTTTATTAATATATTGTCTTTATATTTCTCCAATGTAAAAATTCTTTACATTCAAATTCATCAATTGATTATATTCACTACATTGTCTATTATCTTTATTGTGCACTATTTTTTTAATTAAATATCAAAGTTATAATACAAAATAATGCTATATTTTTATTTACCAAGTATTTTATTAATACCATGAAAAAATTAAAAAAAAAATATAATTAATAAAGCCAATCATATTAACTACTTGAAAGATTTGTTGACAAAGAGAGTATTCAAATCACACAACAAATTAAAGTGAGAACTATCTCGCAATGTCCTTGTTTGACAATCAGCAGTTAACGGATTATATTAGCAAATTTTACCAGCGAATTATATCAACGATTGGTAAACAAATATTTGAAAAAATTAGCTGTTTAGATTAACATGTAAAATGACCTAAGGTTATAATAATAATAATAATAATAATAATAATAATAATAATAATAATAATAATAATAATAATAATAATAATAATAATAATAATAATAATAATAATAATAATAATAATAATAATAATAATAATAATAATAATTTTTTGAAAAAATAAAAAAAATAATAAAATATAATTAAGCCAATTGTATTAACTACTTGGGGGATTTATTGACAAAAATAGTATTCTAATCGCACAACAAATTGAAGTGGGAAACTACCACGCAATGTCCTTGTTTGGCAATTAGCAATTAGCTCTTCAATATTAGTATATATTTAATATTTTATGCCCTAATTTTTATTTGCTCTCCCTTATGTCACGTATTTGGTTTCAGCCATACCTATACAATTATTTTATTGAAAATTATAATCAATTTTGACTATATTATCTTGCATTTGTAAACTTAGAATTACCTATTTAAATACGCAAATTCAACATTCAATTATCTATGAATGAACAATTCCAATATAATCTTGCATTTATATACTTTAAAGTACTTATTTAAAAAAAACATTGTGCATTATCCCAATCGCGCAATGTGCGTAAAAAAACTAGTAAATTATATAAATACCAACTAGCATCCCTGTTAACATTCCAAATTAGTGGTCATAGGTATGAATCAGGTGATGGAAACTTAGATTTTTTGGACTCAAAATGTTTAAGAAAATATAATGTAATTTTTTTTTTTTTTAATTATAACGTACTCAATCTATGGCTTGCTGATGAATAAAAACATATGATAGGCTGAGGGTAACGTATGTAACCCAATAAAGATCAGCCAGAGATATGCATAGATTAACAACATAAATTAAATTAAACGATGATCAATGTATATATAATTGAGATGGAGAATGCAATTCCATGTACCAAATAAAAGTAGTATATTATCTAAGCTGCGCGCGCTAGGTGAAAATTAAATAGGGATGGCATTGCAGGATGAATTGGGTCGTGCCCAAACTCACATAAGGAACCACATTCTCAACTTCATAAATTCATCTTCTCTCAAATGTGCTGTTCAGCTAGGCATTCCAGACGTGATTCATAGACACGGTCGACCCATGACGCTTGAAGAGCTGGTTGACGCCCTCGCTATCAACAAGGCAAAAGCCGACCACCTTGGTCGCCTCATGCGCGTCTTGACTCGTACTGGCATCTTTATTAAGGACGACGACGGGTATGCCCTCGGGCCTCCGTCGTGTCTTCTCATTAAGGACCATCCCTTTAGTATGGCACCTTTCGCGCTAGGGGCAACCGGTCCCACATTTACGGGTCCATGGCAGCATGTCAGTGAATGGTTCCACAACGATGATCCAACGCCGTACCAAACAGCGTATGGGAAAACATTTTGGGACCGCGTCAGTCAAGACCCGGAGTTTAACCATCACTTTAACCAAGCCATGGCAAGTAATTCCTTACTTGTAATGTCTTTGGTCAAAAAATATTGTAGGGAAGTTTTTGAGGGGTTGGATTCACTAGTAGATGTGGGAGGTGGCACCGGGATGGTGGCCAGAGCATTGGCCGATGAATTCCCGGATATGAAGTGTAGTGTGTTGGATCTTCCGCACGTTGTTGCCGGCTTGGAAGGGACTAAGAACTTGGTCTATGTTGCGGGAAACATGTTCGAGGTCATACCTCCTGCACAAGCAGTTGTTCTTAAGGTACAATTCTACGTACTACACTTTTTTCTTTTTTTAAATATGCACTAATTCATTAAATTCTTGTCTGATCTGATACTACAATTAAATTAAATCAGATGATAATGCACAATTGGAATGACGAGGATTGCGTTACAATATTGAAAAATTGTAAAGAAGCAATACCCAATAGAGAAAATGGAGGAAAAGTTATTATTCTTGATATGATAATGGGCTCCACCCAAAACAGAGACGACGACAACGATGATGATGATGAGTTAATCCAAACCCAAATTTTCGCGGATGTGCATATGATGGTTAATTTTGGTGGACGAGAGCGAAAATTAAAAGAATGGGTAAAGATCTTCAATGATGCTGGCTTTACCGACTATAAAACAACTCAACTGGGATTAATGTCTCTTATTCAACTTTTTCCTTAACTCGCAACTGCGCTTGCCCATCCCATGCTAGTTGAAGTTTGTCTTGATGAAATAAAGATGGTTGGCTTTGTTACATGTGTGATTTGATAAATATTGCAATCAGGGTACACCAATTGTTGAATAAATATGGGACAATATGGGATATGTTTTATATTCTGTTTATATTTTAAGTTTTATTTTATTATATTCGACAAATTGTATCTTGTAACCATTGTTTGAGTAATAATATTTTAATTGTTTTGAGCAAAGAAAGAAAAAGATATTCATAATATTTTAGAGGTAAAAGAAATTTAAATCAAGGGTCATGGAATATATATATATATATATATATATATATATATATATATATATATATATATATATATATATAGTAATAAATGGTGAGTACGGGTAAAAAGTTGTCATTCTCGCAAGTTAAAAATTTATGACATAAATTATGCACTAACAAGTAACAAGTAACTAGGCACTAAGTATAGAAAATATTCAAGAAGTTAAGCAAATATCAAGTATAAATACTAGTAAAACAAACCAATAAAAACATGATAAAATCAATGAAAGAAGGTAAGAACTCAGGCAACTGGGCAAGTAAGCATAATCTTCGATATGTGAAAGTTTAATTTTTGTGGTAAGGTTTGTATAAGAGAGTATCCGACCTCACAGATTAGATATCATATGTGTAATTTTGCATATTCTCTTAATCTGGAAGATGATTTAGTTTCTTGCAAACCGAATAGGTGACTGACAAACTCAGATTCTCAATCACTTAGTCATTCAGATAAATAGGCAGATATTACGCATCGCAGAAAATTACGGCAGAAAGAAAATCAACACATAAGATTGTTTACCCAGTTCGATACAGTGTGTATCTACATCTGGGGGACGATCACCGATGTGTCCAATCCACTAACTCAGAATCCAATGTACAAAGGTAGAGAAAAATACAATCTCACCCAAGTGCCCCACACAAGGTCAGTACCCAGTCTACAAAGGTTTAGTGGATCGTTGAAGTCGGAGAGCCGCGCATTCAGAAGTCCAATGAAATCCATTCAATTGGAGAGCTAACTCTGATGGAGTCCGCTTCAATGACGCAGTCCCACGTTGTTCCCACAACTGAGTGATCTTCGCTTCCAATCGGTTGAGCAGTGATGATATTTCTCAAGTTCTTCTTCGTAATCACCATGAACTTATAGTCTTGAGAAGAGGCATGACAACCAGAGATGTATATTCTGTTTAGTATAGAGTGTTGCGGCTTCAATCAATGCAACCCTAACTTCTGAAGGAATAAGCATATTTATACTTTGATTTGGACACTCTCCAAATATATCTCTGGTTGTAGATGGTAGGACTTTTTGTGAAGAAAGAAATCTTAAGATTCGGTTCATACCTCTCAAGATGATTTGCTGATATTCTTTCCAAAACCATCATCTCATAACCACATACCAGTTTTTAGAAACTTTCCTTTATCAGTCCTTCGGTGGCTTGATCTAGAGGTGCGTCTGATGACTTCACTGATCAATCAGTCTTCTTTAAAGACGGACAGACACCAAGCTAAATCCTATCTTAATTTTCCATAATAATATTGTCAATTATATGTTGAGGGTTTTTCTTATAGAAATAAAACACTAACAAACTCCCCCTTTGGCTATTATTTGGCAAAAACAAATCAACTAAAGATAGAGAAGCACAAGCATAATTAAAGGGCCAATAGTGGCAACTATTGTAGCAAAAAAAATATATATATTGTTTGATTACAAGCCATAAAAAACACAGCACACAATCCGTGCTGGATAAAGACATAGAGCAGACCATTTCTTCACAAAAAAAACGCCAAGACAGGGCCAGGAGGTACTTCAACCACCACAGACAACCATCACAAAAATACTCCTTCAACCACCACCGACAACCATCACAAAAATACTCCCCCTGCGTATAGTACTCCCCATTGTTATTCTGAAAGCAACAAGACCAGTAGTTGTCGGAGCAACTATTAATTCTTCATACTTGTGAACAAATTGCAAGGTATTAATGCTCACCATGAACTTGAGACTATGGACCTTAGCTTCAAAGGAAGATAGACAGATGGTTGATCGGTTTTCAAAATGGATTGCAGACATCGGAGATGGGATTACAGAGGTTGTAAACGGCGGTTCATTTGAGATCGATATTCCGGCACGGTTTTTGTTGATATGTTGACACGATCCCATAGCAACTATAGGGGAAAGCACCTTCCCAAGCTCGAGATATGGCATGATTGACAAGTCGCAGCTTGAAGGCCGAGTGTTCCTCTCACCGACTTTAGATGTCATTGATCAAATTAATCAGTACATGTGCGACATGAATACTGCAGAAGGACGAACATATTTAAGTTGTGACTCTTTGTGTAAGGCAGAATCATACAGTGAAAGTTCACCGAGCAAGGTATCTTCATTCGAAAATCCCTAACAAGATTGATCAATTAAATTAGCAATTGAGCACATAAGGCAAATAAAAAGAAAATCAAAATCGAGAAAAAAAAAAGGTATAGTCTCCTATAATAGTCATTCACCAATGTTAACTGCTACGAAACAATTAAAACCAAGCCATCCCGGCAACAACGCCAAATTTGATAAGAGCGATTTTCACACATCCATCAAGTATCAAATCACAGTATAGAGTTTATGTAAGTGTATAAATGATACACGTAAAAAAACCCTTAATATAAATTGGCTAATTTAATTATTAAAGGGTTAGAATTATTTAATGTGAAATACTTTATGTTATACTCTTTGGACCATTTTCCATCAACTAATAATTAATTTGAATGACTACAGTTAATTGGTGAAATTAAGATTGAAAATGAAGGAAGTCGGCAATACAGTACACATAATGAGGCTTCCAAATCAAATGTGTAGTTGTGGTTCATTGAAGATTATATGATGCTGATTATATGGATGGGATGCTAATTATGTGGATCAAAGTGGGATTAATATTTTACTATAAAAGGAAGCCACCCCAATGAGGAAAGTTGCTGATTTTCGAACTACTATTCTCAGTGAAAGCATTCTCTATAAAGTTATCAAATTAATCTGATTATATTATTGTAGTTTAATTTTGGACTGCACAGACAGTACCTGGTACAGCTGAAGCTTCGCTTGAATATTGTTATGGCATGTATGGTTCAGTCTTGAATAGGTGTTAGGAAGGGTTGTAGTGGTAAAGGCTGAGAGCCATCTGTACTTACCTCTTGTAATACTCCTTGGTGAACATCTATAGTGGGTTGGGCAGATCGACGTGGGTTGCCCCGCAGGCGTAGGAGAAGCGCTCCGAACTGCGTAACAATTCTCTTGTGTTATTGTTTTCTTTTATGCTTTCAATTTTCGTTATTTACATTTGATTAACAAATCTAATTAATGAACGTGATTGTTGCATAACATAAAATCAAGTAGAAATATAAATTACATCTTGCATTCAAGATTCACAATGCAATTTCAGTTTAGATATCGTTTCACTGGAGATGACTCTTGTAATCATAGGAATTGATATGATGCAAGGTGAAGTTAAGCACAAGTTAAAACTATTCTTATAAAAGCTAGGTCAATCGTTAAAGAGTCGAGTTGATATGATTAAGCAAATAACAAATAAAACAAGTAAAACAAAAGACCAGGACTTGGTTGATTCAAGCTAAGGTGCCAAATATTGTACTAAGGATTAGAGAATTAGATCAAGGCATAGGGTAAGTGAGATGCTCAAAAGTGTCCTAATACCACTCTTGTAGGTATTTGGTCTTGCAACCTCACATTGAACCCCACTCTCATGGCAATTCAAGCCAAGGATTCCCAAACAAGAACACAAGGTATGTATTCTCCTTAACACCTAAAATACTCTCGTATTGGCATCATGTGTGTGAATGTGTGGCTAGTGTACAAGCTCTACTCTCGTAGCAACAAACACGTCCAAATAAAGCATATAATTGGGATCTAACAATTATACACAATTTCACAACAAATCCTATTCACACAACAAACCATAGAATACCCAAATAATCTCCTTTATGCAATACATCTCAATTAGGCATCAATAGCAAGAAATCAAACCAAATCCTAACCCCAAAACACTTAGCTACTCATAATATAACAATAGATACACAATATTAAAAGAGTAATTGAAATCATAGATGAAAAGTAAAGAGAAGAGATGAATAAGAAAACTTCTCTATTGAAGCCTCAATCCAAGATTTGCAATGTTCTTGAGCTTGGAAATGGAAAGGAACAAGAAATCTACACTAATCTAAACTATTCTAGAGCTAATTAAACCTAACTAGGGAATGAGAGGAAAATGAAAGATGAGTTTTTAGAGGAGGAAATAGTTCTTTTAAAACAAGGGAAAAATGCCTTTTAACATGTTGCAGAGGCTAGGCATAGGTGTGTCTAGACCCGTGCCCAGCAACACAGAGTGCTACTATAATGTGGGCACAGGTGCAGGCAAGAGCGTGCCCAGACCCGTGTCCACAAGACGGTGTACACTATATACTAGCCACATAATATTCAATTGTGCTCTCGTGTTAAGGTGGCTCCAATATCTCGATCAAATACTTCATCAAATGTCTCAAAACATAATTTCTTTGTCAAATCACCTAACACATGCAATAAATTATATAAGTGACCAAAATGACACCATAACATAATGAGTAACAAGCAAAAATTGTCAAAATATGCAAGGAAAAAACATAAGTTTAAGACATTCATCAGGGGCTTCCAAGAGCATGGGAGATGTAGGTCACTACCATGCACTGTGACCACAGAGATTTAAAGACAACTCCCATAATGAAACTTTTAAGGGATCTGAAAAGCCTATGATTTCGAAATGAGCTCGAGGGAAGAGGGGTCGAGATGCTAGCTAGTGAGCAAAAGAGTACCGTGTTAGGTTGATCGCCAATCAACTGTCAAGCTCTTCAATGTCAAATTCTAACCCTAGTGGATTTTCATCTAATGAACAATTTGCTTTGTTAGGAAATTCAAAAATAAGGTTAATGAGGAAGAACAATTATTCGAGGTGTCAAGCTAGCCCATCTTCTTCAACAAGAAGGCCATCTGAAAATTAAAGTCATCCAGTTCAAAGAGCAAGGACGTGGATGAGGTGGTGCAAAGTTTATGCTACAACTGCCGGAAGCTTGAACATTTAAGGCGAAATGCCTTTATGGTGAACAAGCACCAAGACAAAGCTTACTACTCAAGATCAACCAATTAAGAAGGAGGACTTGAGATGTAGTCCAATTGAAACTAGTGGAAGGAAAGCGAAAAGTGACTCAAAGAAATTAAAATAATATAACATAAAATATAATGATATGATGTTAATATATGGAGGTGAGGTAGGCAAATTATATCGTGCACCACGGTGCATAATCAATTATGCATCGCGCATCAAAACGACGTCGTTTTGTTTAATGAAAAGAAATGACATCCGTTTCCTGTCATTCCGCACCCTTCCGCAAAAAGTAACTCTGTCATTCAGTTTTATTTTGTATACAGTGCAGTTTCAGTTCAACACAACTACAGTTTCATTTCGATATAACTACAGTTTCATTCAATATTTATAGACTCAAATATGTGAAAATGTTATTTAATTTTATTTTATATACACTATAGTTTTATTGAAACACAACTACATGATCATTTTTATATAATTACAGCTTCATTGTACAATATACACTCAAATATGTGAAATGTTATTCAGTTTCATTTTATATACACTGCAGTTTCATTTCACCACAACTACAGTATCATTTTGATATAACTGCAATTTCATTTGATAATATAAAAATAACACGTGAGACAGTGTCGGTTTAGATACACTGTAGTGTCAGTTGGTAATTAACATACAAAAAATGCGCGCTCCGTTAACAGTAACGGCGCGCCGTTTCTTTACTTAAAGAAACGACGCCGTTTTGACCGCGGTGTATTCGCACCACGGTCCACGATATAACGACCCGGTGATGTAGGTTCCATTCCAGACCCCAAGCCCATCAAGCTGATCTGAAGCAGCTAAATATGGAAACTATATCATTCATCTTCAGAACCTGGGCAATTTATATCCTACACCACGGCACGCGTTGCACTATGCGCCCAGATGCAAAACGACGTCGTTTTAATTTTTATTTTTTTTTTTAAATTTCCCGCCCAGTGAATGACAGTAGTTTTTTCTTTAAAAAAAAAATCCGTTGTTCAAGAATGTACATAATGTTCTACTAGAATACACATAATTGTATACATGAATGTACATAATTATATAACAAAATATACATACTCTTTTTAAAAGATAATACACATAATCTAACATAATACATAATAAACATAAACTTTTAACATAATACACATCAACTATTAACATAATACACACAAATTTTCTGATTCGGATGTACATAATTGTATAAAAAGAATGTACATAATTGTATAAAAAATGTACATAACTGTATGAACCAATACACATAACTGTATGAACAAATACACATAACTGTGTGAACAAATACACATAATCCCAACAACTTTCTACCGCGCCTCCCAAAACGACCCCAAAACGACGTCGTTTTGGGAGGCGCGCGGCGCACAGTGCTATGTGCGCCGTAGTGTAGGGTATAACGATTGCAGAACCTGCATGCCGTGCCTACATTATATTAATTATGGAATTAATATTAATATAAAATATATACATTTAATTAATATCTATTCTAATTATTATTACTACCTAGGCTACTATATAATATAATATAAATTAAACATGCACACCAAATCATCTATCAGAGACGAATTAATTGAAGTGATAGAGATGAGATGAGTTGAACATACATACCTAGCTGTACATCAGATCAGAGGATGGAAATCATATCTGCATCTACTCTCACCGTCTTCTTCTTCTTCTTCTTTCTATGTCTGTTTTGTTGGATAAAGTAGCTATATATACTAATGTTAGTTCTATCTTCCTTAGATTCATCCCAACAAAAACACTTAAGGAGAAACGACTCCGGAATAATGCTGCTGCAAAATCTTCTTCTCCAACCATAATTCTTCTGCTCTTCTTCTTCTTCTTCTTCTACACCTACACCTACACCTACACTACTACTTGTTGAACAATCATCACTTTCTTGTATCCCCGCCATTAATCTAATTTCATTTTCTGTTGTTCCATCATCAATTTCAATTCTACCAAGCCTCTTTTGGATGGAAAGAAACGCACTTCTCCATCTTCGTTTCTATGTATTTCAAATAAACAAAGCAGCATCTTCTTCTGCAGAGGATGGAAATGAGCGTACACCTCCAATACTTCTCCAATCCTTGTTCCCACCTCAAATTCAATTTCCTCATACAATTCAAACTTAATATATTTCTGAGGTTCCTTTACGATCCAAGCACCAGTGGTTTTGCTTCTCACACTAACACCAACTCCATCAAACTCCTCATTACCATCAAAACCACTATTAATGATGTTAATGGGTGTATGCCCCAACAGTCTTGGAATAATGCAACATACATAACCTCTGCCGACATTTAGCGAAATCTGGACAGTATTACCTTCAGAACATGCCTACATCATCATCATCATTATTATTATTATTATTATTATTATTATTATTATTATTATTATTATTATTATAACCAAATCAGACAAAGATGAGGGAGGGGAACATAACTAAACTAACCTGGAACCAATTTTCAACTGGAGGAATCCTCAAACCACTGCAATTTGTTATCTCAACACATCTTAAAGATTCAAGACTCTCCAATCTTGGAAGCTCAACCAAACTTTTGCAATTGGGAATTCTCAACCATTCAAGTCTTCTCAAGTTTGATATATCTACTATTTTTTCTAATGACTCACAATCTTTTGCAATAAGACGCTCCAAACTAGGTGGAAGGTTTAAAAGTGCTCTAAGATTTTGCAAATCTTCCAGGAAGAGCCATTTCAAGTTGGAGAGATGACCAAGGTCCAACGATAGACTTTCAAGAAACCAAATTCTTGATAAAACTAATTGTATCAATGAGGTCAAACTCCCAAGAGCAATTGGAAGATTTACTTGCTGTGATTTGATGAAACTCACTCTCAGCCATTCCAATGAGCATAAATTCACAGCTGAAGATGGAAAAAAATCAACAGCTACTGAATTCCCAGTGTCTCCCACTTCCAAGGACTCTAGATTTCTCAAACATCCCAAAGAAATGGGTAAATGTGAGATACCAGTTTCTGCAGCATATAATCTTCTTAGTTGCTCTAATTTTCCAATGTCAATTGGAAGCTCCCTCAGATTCTTGCAACCAGATAATTCTAACTTCTCAAGTGATTTTAACTTGCAAATGCTACTTGGAAGCACCTTCAATTTCTTGCACCTCCACAAATTTAACCAAACAAGCCTCTCCAAACTTCCAATTGATGGGTGCACATTCGCCAAATTTAAACAACGTACGAAGGATATTTCCTGAAGACTTTGTGCTCCAGTAAAGTCTGGTGTACTCTTAAGTTGTTCACAGTAATCGAGCTTTAACATCCTCAAGCATATAAAATGCTGTTAAAATAAAATACAAAGGTTTTAATGCATTTCTATTTTTTAGTCAAAGTTCTTAGCAAATATGCAATGTTAAATAATTAAGTATTAGACATACTAACCTGCATATTGGGCTGAAATTCTTCGATATTGCTATAGCTCAAGTCTAACTCAACAAGTTTCGCACAATGAAAATCCGATTGTATGTGACTCAAACAGTAATTATGCAACCTTAAAAGCTTAAGCTCATTGGGCAAATATTTAAAAGATCCTCTAAGAACCACACCATCTAATATGAGTATTCGCAAATTTACCATCCTTGTAAATACTTCCGTACTCAAAGGTACATTCTTTAACATGTTAGAGTTTACGATCATCCCTTCAATTGTTTTTGTGCCCTAAAAAAGTGTTTGATGTAGCAATATGTTAGATACTCTAAAATCTTTCATATTATTAATAAAACTAAGTATTACAAGCAAATGAACTAGATTAATAACTCAAGTAAAAAGGAAATGTTTTACCTTGTTGCCTTGTAGAACATCAAAAACAACATTTGGGTCCACCAATCTACTTCGTTTGCCAGGATTTTTTGGAGATTCCTTCCGAACAATTTCTCTTCCCATATTCCGTACTAAATCATGCATCTCAAGCATTTTAAATTCTCCATCTCCATATATTGTTAACAAACATCTTTCTATCAAACTTCTGATTCCACTTTCAGCATGAAAATCACAAGCTTCCAATATCATAGCAGTGTCTTTTTTGTCATGCCCAACAAAAAAACAAGCAATATCAAGAAAGATGTTTTTAGTATCACCATCAAGTGCATCATAGCTTATTTCAAGAATTGTTTGAATATCTTCATGAGGATTGCTTCTTAATTTCTCAACATCTTCGATCCACTCTTGCACTGATCTTCCACGCAAATGAGAACCTATAATGGTAAGTGCTAATGGAAGTCCCACAGTATAACTTGCTATCGTTTTCGATACTTCAATATACTCTTCTAATGCTATAGGAACACCAAAAGCATGCCAACTTAAGAGTTGCAAAGAATCATGAATGCTTAATGTTTTAACCTTGTACTTCTCTTGTGTTCCAAGCTCACTCAACAAGTGAACATCCCTAGTTGTTATTATAATTGTACTACCTGAACCAAACCAATTTCGCTGACCTGCTAATGAGTCTAATTGACTTATGTGGTCTATGTCATCAAGAACAATAAGAACCCTTTTGGATTGAAGCCTTGCTTTGATCAAACTTATTCCTTCATCAACATTATCTATTTCAAAATTCTTTCTCTGAAGTGTTTTGTAAAGAAGTTTCTCTTGTAAACCAACTAAACCATTGTGTCGTCCCTTATTAGAAACTTCTTGTCTAATATTTGCAACAAAGCAACTACCTTCAAACCCGTGAAAACTCATGATCAAGTGATTGTATATAGCTTTAGCAAGGGTTAATTTCCCAACACCACCCATGCCAAAAATTCCAATCATCCGAATACCATCATTTGTTTGAGTTTGTAATAAATCAAGTACTTCTCTAACATGAGAATCAATTCCAACGGGATACTTTGCAACATTCATGGGCATAAAATTCAACACTCGTAGCACTTCTTTAGTAATCACCTCAATGAACTTTGACTCATACCTGATCAAATTTTAAATTTATTGCATGAAATAATCTTTGTCTATACATTGTTTTTTTAAAAAAAAAAATACGTTCAAAAAAAAATTAAGGCCTAAAACACAAAATTAAGAAACCAAACTAAATATTTTCGGGTAGTATATGTTGCATACTTTCTTGCAGGGTTCAAACCTTTAACCCCTCATCCACTTGGATGGATAATCTGAATGCCATCACACTACATGGTAGTTGGCAAAGTATCTTTATCTTTATATCTTCTTTATCTTTATATTTATATATAATAAAGCAGAATCTAGCCACAAAATTTTCCCTCCAAAGTGTGAATGCATTTTGATAGAAACAAGATCAGCAAGTATGGATGCATTAATTGTGTGGGTAGATGTATTTATACATATTTTTTTGAAGTTATTATGTGTATTTATATTTATATTTTATAAATTATATTTTATTTTTATAGCTCTATCTCTATCTCTATATATATTAAAGCATAATGAAGTATGGAAAAAAGTTTACTGTGTTGAAATTTATTGGTAAAATTTTATATTTAATATAATTTGTGTATATATTCATTTAAACCTCAATTATAATTAATTTGACTGCACATATATAAAGAGGAGAAATTGGATATAAAATAAATATAGTTCTTACATAAATAATCTTTTTCAAATAAATAAATTTTTGGTGGAGATTTTTGGCAAATATCGCCTGTTATTTTATTTACAAGTTTTATTTAAATACATTAGTTATATAATTAAAGTAGTTATTTCAAATTCTAATTCTAATATAATACAAGTAACAATAAACTTTAAAATCAACATACTAATAGCATAATTAAACATTTAAAAATATTAAATATTACATTGTATAGTTAAAACTTAAATTTTTAATCAAACTAATTCTGAGCTCAAGAACTCAAGTACGTTTTTCTGCTTCCACAATCATTACTTTCTTTGCTAATTCAGAAGATGTCAAAAATTTAATTGGTAAATTTGTTAAATTAATAATAGTTAGTGCATCAACAATTACTAGTTTTCTATTAATTAGCCAACAAATATAATTCGTCAATAACTATAACAATACTCCGTAATATTTATGTATAATAATAAATTAATACTCCGTATAAAAATTAATTAAAAAGCACAGTTAGAAGATGCAGATTCGTCATCTTCAATTATTTTTAAATTTTTCTTAAAAAAAATTCCATAGATATGAATTTAGTATATGAGTAAGTGTGTCAGGAAAATATCAACAAATATAAAAATATATATAAAAGAGATAGGATTACCCATTTGACATGGTTTGCAAATCCCATCCGGACAAGTTAGCAGCAGCAGTGAGTGCATCTTTCCACTCATTAACTTTTTGATCTCCAAATCGTTGTCTGTGTAGAGTCAATGCATCACCAAAAGTGCTTGTTTGTTTGCGAACCTCGGAAGGATCAACATTGTAGAATATGGGAAAAATAATCTGATTCAACTTTTGTTTACATTCCATGATCTTCACAAGTTCATCTAGACACCATCGGGATCCAGCATAGTCTTTGGAGAATACTATGATGGATATCCTCGACTCCTCTATGGCCCTAGATAACTCAACAGAAATATTCTCTCCTCTCCGGATTGATTCATCATCCCGAAAGGTGTTAACTCCAGCCCGTCTCAAATCTGCATAGAGATGATCGCAAAATGATTCTCGTGTCTCACCCCTGAAACTCAAGAAAACATCATACATCATGCGAGCATACAATGAAGATGATGATGATGATGCCATACTCGACCAAAATCTGAGTATACTATCTGTCTGGATTTTGTAGCAGCTTGCCTTTGGAGCTATGAACTAAAGATTTATGTTAAAGAGCTTTGAAAACGCGTGTAGCAGATCAGCAGCGATGACTTGGTCATTTCAAAGTCAGGATACGAAAAATATACCTCCCAATGATGGTTAAACCCAAAGGAAATTTCGTGACTTTTTGCAAGAATTTATTTACATGTACGGTTAACTGTACATACAAAATGTATTAACAGAAGATACAGAATTTTTGTATCAGAATTCAGAATGCAATATGAATCCAAATTAACGGTATAACAATTGGTCTGAAGGTGACCGGGCTGCTACATCTACAATTTTATAATAAGTCAGATTAAAGCTCCATGATAAACAATACGGAGTACAATAATTAACATTATCTCCTCCAAGTCTTTCAACTAATCCACCGTCCACACAACAATTTTCATCATCAAATTAATTAAACAAATGCCACGAAGAATAAAATTCTGCCCGACCTTCTGCTACACAATCCAATCTATATATATATATATATATATATATATATATATATATATATATCTACTATACTAATAAGAGCCCAAAAGAGTTAGGCCTATAATGGGTAGAAAAAATGGGGGTCAAATTTTTAAATCAAATGAATGGCTCAGATTAATCAGATTTTAATTTTTCCATGAGATTTCCTAATTTATCCTTAATGAATATGATTATCCGTTAATTTTTCCGTTAAATATTATATTTTCCGTTAGTTTCTGTCAATTCACCGTTAACTTACTCATTGATTTTAATAAGAAAGGTCTCAGGTTTGAAACCCATCCCAATCAAATTAAAGTTGGCATAATTAGTACTCTATTTTACTCTTATTAAATTAGGTCTCAGGTTTGAACTCCATCCCAATCAAATTAAAGTTGACATATATAATTAGTACTCTATTTTACTCTTATTAAATTATATAATTAATAATTTAGTAGCTACAACAAAAAATAATACATATGCATTTTTTTAATTTAGAATTATGTGTGTACAATGTCTTTATTCAAATTTTTTTTATTCATTATCAATAAATTAAATAAGAGAAATAATTTCATTAGTTATATTGTCTTTATTTTTCTCCAATGTAAAAATTCTTTACATTCAATTAATCAATTAATTATATTCACTACATTGTCTATTATCTTTTTTTGTGCACTATTTTTAAATTAAATATCAAAGTTATAATACAAAATGTTAGGAACATTGTATTAGGATTTTGATGATACCAATGTAATGTAGAAAAGTAGACCCCTAACCATTAGCTGTTTTTGTTTTGCTACTTTCGTCCTAGACGAGAGTTGCCATAACTCTTTTGTAATTCGTGTTAAGCTAGACAAACACACGAAAATGAGTTATGACTAGATGTTAGGTTCTCCAAGGCGAAAGAAGACACGAGACATGAAGAACAACAACGAGAGTCAAGCAGGAGTTGTCAACAAACACGAAAGAACAGTGTGTGTAAAAGACGATCTTTATTAAACATTACTTCTCTTCAACAACGAGAAGAATGTTTCACCTGTCTGATTTGACAACATCCTAGGACAATAAGGACTTCATTTTATGGGACTCACTTTTCAAGAAGCATTAAATGAAGATGTACTATCACTTGGAGCTAAAGGACAAAACCCTAATGCTTTCCATACCTTCAACGGCTACATGGTACAACCTCATTAATGGAGCATTTAATGCATGAAGCTCCCCGGTCCTTGTCCAATGGTTAAAAGGTTCGAAAATTTCATCTCCCTCCAACGGATGGATTTTCATCACCTATATAAACTCACCTTCATCAACTAAGAAGGTGCTGGTTCATTATCACTCGACTTACTCACTTACAAAAGCTCTTGAAACGTCTACGATTTACAAAAAGCTTTTGTGAACCAGTTTTTGAGGTGTTAAGTTACTTGGAGAATCACTTGTCTTACACCTCAAGGAAGTCTTGACATCAGTTTGAAGCTATCATATCTCAGAGTCAAGATCTCTTCGTTGGAGAATTCAAGAAATCATTTTCTACCAACCTCAACTCAGGAGAAGAAGTTGATAGAGGCGGAGTAAACTCGAGGAGTTGAAAAACCTACGAAGGCTGTCCAGCTTAGTGATCAAGGAAGTCTTTGTGTAATTGTACTAAGAGTGATAGTGCAATCCTTCCAACAGTTGTGGAAGAAGAGTGGAGTAGGCAACATTGGCCGAACCACTATAAAATCTCGTGTCCTCCTTATCTCCTTACTTACGCTTTTTATTTTGCTCTCATATCATTTCTTCATTATCATTACCGAAAGTTTGTCTAATTACGTAAACTCGTGCAAAGTATTTTAAAACGAATCTATCTTATCCGCTGCGCCAAGACACCGAAAGGTGACGTTTAGGGCTTCTAACGAAAAGAGTCTATTCACCCCCCCCCCCCCCTCTAGACTCTCATCTCTTTCTATCGGGACCAACAAGTGCTATCAGAGCCAATACCTTGTTCGGTAAAGGCTTTGCATTTACTGCCTGGTAGATCCCTATTCGAAAATCTCTTGAAAATCTTGCATATTTTCTTTGCACGCTTTTTTAAAAAAAAATGGAAAAGGAACATGCTCATCGCTCCAAACAACTTGCATTTAGTCTTGCTAAATTTGATGACTGGAAGTTAAGAATGCAGGCTCTCCTATGCTCCATTCATGATGAGATGTGGGACGTCATAACAACCGGACCAATCACAATCATGATGGCGAATACTCAAGCAGCCGCACAGGGTGCAGGAGCTCCACAGATGATAACAAAACCAAAAGACCAGTACTCCTCAGAAGATAGAGCAAGAGCGAATCTGGACAATGTAGCAAGAAACATTCTCTACAACTCTATGGATGATTCCCTGTTTCCAAGAGTCCGAAAATGCAAGAATGCTATGGAAGTGTGGAATGTCCTAATGAGATTAGGAGAAGGAGACGAGCAAGAAAAGGACAACAAGCTGACAATGGCTATGAAAAAATTCGAAGATTTCAAAATGCTGCCAAATGAATCAATCTTGGATATGGAACTCAGATTCACCAGACTGATGGGCGATTTATCAGATCTTGGAAAAGAACTTACTGAGAAGGAAATGAATCTGAAGATCCTTCGTGGTCTACCTAAATCATGGGAAATGAAGGTTATTGCAATGAGGGATAGTCGAGACATGAAAACGACAAGCACTGCCAAAATTTTCAGTGATCTCAAGGCTTATGAGTTCGAACATGAACCAAAAGATGCCGAAGATTCAGAAACAAGAAATATTGCTCTCATGGCAAATCAATCAGCATCAACATCCAACAGGTCGAAATCTAACTCTTGTGAATTTTTATCTGATGAACAATATGCACTATTTGTCAGGAAAATGAAAAGATTCATGAGAAAGAACAACTTTCAAGATCCACAACATTCGGGCCACCGAAAGAAGCAAGAGAACTTTCCTCAAACATCAAAATCTGAAACCATGGATTCTCAGCTATTATGCTATAATTGCCGAAAGCCAGGACACTTCAAGGCAAACTGTCCACATCCCATAGTAAGCAAACATCAAGATAACAATGCTACCACAAGCCCCTCAAAAGAGACTGGAGAAAGATATAAAAGAAGCGACAAACCTGAATCATCAAACTCCAGAAAGGAAGGAAGAAGAAAGGCAATGTTAGTAAACGAAACTTCTGACACAGTCGCAACCGAAAGTAGCTCCTCAAGTTCTAGCTCAGAAGACGAAAGCACTGATGAGGAGAAAGGACTGATGTGCCTATTCAGTCAAGAGTCAGACGAACTATGTCTCATGGTAGATGAAGACGAGGTAAATTGTCATTCATCCTCTTGTTATTCAGCTGAGTCAAGTTCAGTGAGAAGTTTTACCTCAAATGAATCTGTCACCGAAATGATGATGAGGTTCAATGTGATAAATAACACTTACTCCAAACTCAAGGAGGAGAACTCTCGGCTTAGGCTTAGCTATAATGAACTAAAGCAAGTTCGTATTGAGAACAATATGCTAGTCATTGCTAAGGAGCAGCTTGAGAAAGATGTTCTCGCTCTAAAGGAGATGTGCACAACAAAAGAGAAGAGAGAGCAAGAACTGCTTGAAGTTTTGGATAAATTCAATAATTCATCCAACCTAATGGATAGAATGTTGAATGAATCCAGACTGCCCGGGGAAAGAACTGGAATTGGTTTTAACCCCAAGTAAAATGGAGCATAGGAGAACCTGCATAGGAGAGCCATAGGAGAGCCTGCATTCTTAACTTGCATAATTAATAAAGCAAGGCATATTAACTATTTGAGGGATTTGTTGACAAAGGGAGTATTCAAATCACACAACAAATTGAAGTGAGAACTACATCGCAATGTCCTTGTTTGATAATAAGCAGTTAGCGTTAGTGGATTTGACCAACGAATTATATCAACGGTTGGTAAAAAGATATTTGAAAAAATTAGCCGTTTAGATTAACATGTAAAATGACCTAAGGGCATAGATAGATTTAATAATAATAATAATAATAATAATAATAATAATAATAATAATAATAATAATAATAATAATAATAATAATAATAATAATAATAATAATAATAATAATAATAATAATAATAATAATAAGTATAATAATTGTTATAAAAAAAATTAAAAAAAAAAATAATTAAGTCAATCATATTAACTACTTCGGGGATTTATTGACAAAAAGAGTATTCAAATCACACAACAAATTGAAGTGAGAAACTATCCCGCAATGTCGTTGTTTGGCAATCAACAGTTAGCTCTTCAATATTAGTATATATTTAATATTTATGCCCTAATTTTTATTTGCTCTCCCTTATTTCCCATATTTGGTTTCAATCATACCCACACAATTATTTTATTGACAATTATAATCAATCTTGACTATATTATCTTGCATTAGTAAACTTAGAATTGCCTATTTAAATACGCAAATTTAACATTCAATTATCTATGCATGAACAATTCCAATATAATCTTGTCTTGATATACTTTAAAGTACTTATTTAAAAAAAAAAAAAACATTGGGCATTATCCCAATCGTGCAATGCGCGTAAAAAAACTAGTATACTAATAAGAGCCGATAAAGTTAGGCCTATAACGG